CCTAAGGCTATGTAATCTCCCTATAAACATTTTATTTAAGGGCAGGTTCAAAGCTTTTTGCCATAGATGTGGGAGATAGTTTCTTGCAACAGAGACAAAACCAGCTACCTGTGGGGTGAGCAGGTGATGGGGATGCCTGGGTGGGTGTCGGTGTGTGGGTGGGTGAACAGCAGACTCAAGAACCACCCTGTCCGAGTGCAAGGAGGAACAGCTCCCCTCTTGGGGATGTGGGCCCTGTGTTATCACGTCCTCTCTCTTTAAGAGACAGTATTGAATTGTTTATATGAAGTATCCATCTTGTTAGTATTGGTTGGACAAAAATACTGATAATAATTAACATTATTTGACACTCCAGGACAGGCCTCACACCCAGGAGTGTCAGCCAATGCAAACTGGACTCGGTGGGTTGATGAGGGAAGAGGGGGAAATGGAGGCACAGAGACAGGGATGGAGCTGGGGAGCAGGTATCTGGGGAAAGTTTGGAGGAGAGGAAGGATACGATCCAAACACACCATATGAAATTATCAAAGAATTAACAAAAACTGCTTTGAAAAAGAAAAATGAAATAATCAACTGTTTGGGACAAAGAAAGAGTCTTTAGCATTTTTGTGTAGAAAGACACAAGAAGGTAGACGACCCCAGTTACTCACACGTTAATGCCTTTCCCTATCAGCATATTTCTTACACTTATTTTCACAGCATCAGATTTAAATTGAGTTCCACAGTCTTCCTACAGTGTCAGCACGCCACAGAGGAGAACCAGCGGCTCAGGGAATGCCTTAAACCTTTCAATATTTATTTAAACCCGACTTCCCTGTGCTAGGTAATATCCAGGTTGGTAAGAACACAAAGAAGGAAACACTGTCTTTGTTTTCAGAGCTCACAGACGTGGAAAGAACTCTATCAAAAGTTTACAATACCATGTATTAAATAAAGCCTATCGCAGAGATATGTAAAAAGGACAAAGGGAGGAGGAGGAAAACATTCCTCCTCCCAGGAGATGGAGAAGGTTTCTAGAGGGAGAGATCATAGCGCAGCTTTATACAATGAGGTTCAGTTTGTTAACCATTTAATAAGGCATGCTGAGTAATTCAATTTTTTATTCTAGCAGAAATAGGCAGATATGAAACAGTTATGCACGGGGAAGCAATATGGTCAGACCATTTTTTTATTTTTTTTATCAGCATACTGGCAGCAGTGGGACATAAGAGCTACAGGAGGCAGAGCAGACAGTGAAGAGCCACGAGACAATGATTTAAGTAATTCAGCCCATTAAGAAGCAGCAGGGACATGAAGTAAGTCTACTTGGCTGGAAAAATAATGTTATGGCTAAAGAGGCACCATTATATGCCAGGCATCCATGTGGACACCCACCAGCCCTTTGTCTCTGACTCCAGTCCCTACAAGATGAGTTCCCAGTAACCCTGACTCAATGGCCCCCTGCCCAAAAGTGTACAGTGTGACCACCAACTTGTTATGACTCACTGCTTTTTTTGCCTCTGTAACTTGCTTACGCAGATGCCTAGATTGTTTTGAGTTGCCTTAACCACTTAACCTGGCAGAACAGAACAGTTTTGCTTGCTTGTATAGATATTGAAGGTCTTCATGCAATCCCCCCCCCCTTTAGGAGTCCTTCTCCATACCCCTTCTTCCTGGTACCAACTAATCAATAAATCTTTGGACTATACTGGGATTGAGTCTATGGTCTTTCCCAAAGGGTCACAATCTCCATAGCAACAGCTAGAGGACAGACATTAAGGACTTGGCTTACAGAAGGAGAGGAAGGTGGCAGGAGAGAGGGGAGAGTTCAGGATACCAAACAGGACTCACTCTAAGAGAATTCCAAGTGCAAAAGCAAGCAGGCGACTCTAGAGCCAGGTTACTTGACATTAATTGTCCTTTCGCCCTTACATTCTGGGTGGATTCAGGCAACTGATGTGCCTGCCCACTCTAAACCTCTTTCTGGTATGTATGCCAAGATATCTCTTGACATTGGTGGACATTTGTGCCTACAAGTTCCTTTATGGTTACTTTCTGTAATTCTGGTTGGGGTAGCAATATTATCTGGTGTGTTTGTTTTAGAAGACCAAATGTTCTGTTTGTAATGCTTTTCCAGCCAGTTCTATAGTGATAGGGTGAGCACTCTGGCTTCCGCTGTGCTTGTAGAACAGTCTCGGTTGGTGTAGATTAATACATGGCTCTCGGATTGAAAAGAAAGCTTCCATAGCATAGTGATGGTGTTAGAGTCCTGTATGCAGACAAAGCTGTCTACAGCCTGCTAAGCATGGGGCCAGGGTTTGACTCTGTAATATAAGAACGTCTGACAAACATCTCTAAGATGTTTGATAGGAAGAAGAGGAGGTAAAATCTCCAGAGGTTCGTTGGGAGAGAAGACCAGATAAATAGGAGGGGGGAAAAACAGTCCACTGCAATAGAGGAGCCAGGTGTGTGAAAAACATCTATCTCACAGTTAAAAGTCTTGAATTAGATCGTTTAACACAACTGTGGTATCACTCAGGATACTTTTCCTTATCTTGATTATGACTTCACTTCTAGAAATAAAAGAAAGGAAACATGACTTCTAAGAGGGCAGGATTTATAGGTGAAAGGGCATCGGATTCAGAAATCCCTTATAATTCAGCTGTGTTAAATGACTTAAATACTGCTTTACATAGCAGTAAAGGTGGAAGGGCTCAGATTCTATTGCTTACAATTCTGCACAAGAGCAAACTCCACTTTTTCCTTCTTCTAATCTCCCTAAAGGGACAGGGCTGGTGGGGAGCATCAGCTTCCAGCAAAATGGGCAGTGTATGTCTGCAGGGCTCCATCACGGGCTGCTTTTCTGGTCACTTCTGCTGTGACTCTACAACTTCAGGGCTGAAACTTGAACGTGGGCCTTATTTGAGGAGAAAGACACTCCAACTTTTCCAAAGAGGTGTCTCCTGTTACAAATAACATTGGTCTTGCAAAACGTCTGATGGTTTTGGCAGTATAGTGTGTAAAGTGAAAAGGTTGAGCATGTTGGCCTTGGACTCAAGTCCAGACTCCACCACTTCTCAGGTGTGAGAGCCAGGGAATTTACCGGTTTAATCCTCCATTTCCTCCCATGGTAAGGTTGATGACAACTCTGGACTATTTCAAATAGTGAGTCCCTAACAACACGTGGGGGGCTTTTGATGTTTTACCTTTGAACTCCTCAGAGTAGAAGAGATTGAAAAAGATTGAGAAATGCATTTTTTTACAAGGTCCATTGAAGAAGAGATTGTCTTTTCTTCCAACAGGAAAAGTGTTTACATTCTTCCTAGCAGTGTAACTGTCCATTTCCAGGAGACCTAGCAGCCTGATCCATACTTCTCCTGGTACCAGGGCTGAGTAAGCTGATTCTCTCCAGCTGGGGACTTACTAACACTTCTTCCAGACCAATGTAACACGTGGCTTGTTAAAAAAGAGTCACTCAAAACCAAACAAAGCTAACTACCAAAGGCTTGCACACAAGCCGTATCCTAATGATGAGCCCAAGGAAAATGTATCACCTTTCCAAATGTTCTTGGTCACTGGGTGTTTTTCAAAAATAAAAAGACAAGAACTGCTAAGATCTTCATTACTCGCCTTTCATTTTACACTAAATAGCTGCAAACTCAGTCTATAGGATATGGTAAAACTATCCGGTCGGGGAGGGGAACCTCTAAGTTCATCACCTAAGCTGTCAAGTCATGTGGTCTTTCATCTGGAATTTAAAATCAAAGACAAGAAAACCTAGAGATGTCCTGACCTGTTATTAACTTTGCATTTTTTAAAGATTACTATGCTTCACTGTTAGCAAAATGGTCATTAAAAGTACAGCACAGAGTTAAGCAGTAAAATTGGACCCCATAAAGTATGATAGTATTGTGGCTCTTAAAGACCCCCGTGCAGATGTTCCTAATCAGACTGAAAACACAAACACACAAACCAGTTTGTTCCAGTTACAGGATAATTTCATTAAAAGCATGCTTATAATTGAACAGAATAAATAATAGTTAAAGCCATGGAGGTAGTGAGACTGCATTGAAATGTAATCCCAAGGACTCTCTGCCAAGAAAACTGTTCCAACATTTGAAAGCCGGGAAGCTGAGAAATCCTCTCCTGGCTACAGGTAGAAAATTATTACCTGAGTTAGCCAAAACCTGTGAGAACATACCTTTAGGGAAATCTCTCTCTCTCTCTCTCTCTCTCTCACACACACACACACACACACACGCATGCACGCATGCACGCACGCATGCACACACGCATGCACGCACGCACACACGCGCACGCGAACACACACACGCACACACAAGCACAAAGAATGCCTCTTTTTGAATCTGCTGCTCTGGGAAAGTTAGACGTCCGATTTCTCACCGTGTTCACTTCTTACTGAGGCACGCATGCTGCAGGAAATGCGCTGCAGGAGTAAACAGGCACATGCAGCCCACACATGCTCCGAGGACACAGGATTCTTTTCGCAAACAGTGATCTTGGCAACAAGCCTCCTTTATGGACCGAGAGCTCCATTCCCTACTTAGAGCGAGTCCCAAGGCTACAGCAGGTAAGTGTGCGGTGCTAATTAGGCTCAAAGGTGATTGTATTCAAAGCAGGAACTATTCCGCAGCATATTCGATGGAGGTTAGGAAATTGCGCCAGCACAGTGACGTTATAAGAGCTCCTTTTCCCACAATTACCGATCTTTGAATCAGTATGAACTTTAACATTGCAAAATATGTAATTCCATTCAAGGGTTGGTGCTTAATTGCCTAATTCCAAGCCCCCCCCAAAAAAAAAAAGCCAAGTAATTTTAAAAGCAATTAGGAAAATCTTACACAGAAACATCTACTCTGCTTATTTTCCTAACGCATATATCCATCTTATTAAAAGTCTGTTTCATTAACCGGACTGTCACGCCTAGATCATGATCCCCATCCAAGAAGCAAAGCCACATTAATTCAGCATAAAAGAGTAAACTCGAACGCCACACTCACCCTGTGTCACCTGCTGAACTGCCAACATGAGCCCAGACACAGTGTCTGGCAGCAGGTTTTCCTTCAGACTGTACTGTGGTGCCCATTCCAAAATAGGTAGGCGCCTTCTCCACCACTGTTTAACGTCCTCGCAGTGGGGGGCGTGCACCTTGCCCCACAGCGCGCTTTTCTTTTTCCTCTTTGCTCCGGTCATTTTCCAGATCCCCTCCTGTAGTAGTCAACTTCTTCAAACAAGGGAGAGAGAGAGAGAAAAATCAAACAAGGGAGAGAGAGAGAGAAAAAAAAAAAAAAAAAACGGCTGATGAACACCTCCTTTCAATGCCAGGCTCCAGTTCGTCTGTGGTTTACAATGCCAAAGCTGTTCAGAAAACAGCAAGTGGAGAGGAAGAAAGGAGAGAGAGGAGAGGGGAAGAGAGGTGGCAGGAACACAAATGGATGCAACTGAGCTGGGGGTCTTACTGTGCAGAGTTCAGCTAATTGTTCTAGATAAAAAATTAGAGACCCAAACCTTGAATTCTTATCTGAGTAAGAGACGGTTCCTGCTAATGGAACACTTTTCTGGTCTTGGGAAAGGAATGGGTTCAGTGGTGAGATGGCTACAGCTCCCTTGCCAGTAATTCCCCTTATATTCACTGTCGTCTTATGTTTTTGGCTGCATTCCCAATGGTTAATGAGGTAGTGCGGGGCGTGTGTTGGAAGTGGGCTGGGCTATGCTAATGAAACCAGGAAGCATCGGGCCAGCCCAGTGTCTTCACAAGCTAAAGCAGAGTCCTGACTGCCACAGGGATCTGCTGCGGAAAGTGTGCTCAGAGAATGCAGCCATGCTTCTCTGAGGTGTCCACTCCAACAAGTCTAAAATTCGCCAGCTCCACAAAGGACAAAAACTACATGAATCCTCGTCATTTTATTCTTGGGGACACGGGGTTTTCATTCATACAAAAAAATATTCAGATAGCCACGGTGCCATCTGAGGGAAGACTAGCAAGTTCTTATAAACAAACTGAAATTTCATCTCCTGGGCTAAAGAAATAAGTACCAGAATGAGCAAATATTTGTGGCTAGGGTTTATTTTTCTTCCTGTTTCTGCTCATTCACTTTTCACTGATTGTTTCGCAAAGTTTTGAATTAACATACTTATGCCACTGTAAGTAAAATTTATTGAGGGATTTGGTATCATTAAAACTATTGTTTGAAGTGCCACTCTGTGTGCATGTGTGTGTGTGTGCGCGCGTGTGTATGTGTAATACTATCTTTAGTTGGCATAACTTTTAGTAGAGTGTTGTCCTTTTAAGAATGAGTGTTACGTTTTATAACAAAATAGACTGTCAAAGATTTTATGATATTGTTATTTCCCACTGCCTCCAGAAGAATAAGCTAGTATTACGATCTGAACCATTGGAACTCACCCAAAAAGCCAATATTCTAAGTAAAACTGTAGAGCCAAAAAAAAAAAAAGAAAAAAGAAAAAAAAAAGAAAAGAAAGAGCATGTGTGTGGTTTGCTGCAGGGCTTTCTAACGTGTTTGTCCAGAGACATCAGATGCTGGAGGTTGCTAGAGCCGTACAGAGTTAGAGCCATGGATTCTCTAAAGGACCCTGCTACGCTTTCTCCCATTACTTAAAATATGTGGAAGAGCCACTTTTTCAGCCTCAAAAGTCCAGTATCCCTTGCTTTATATCTACTTGGCAATACTTTTTTCATATTTAATGAGTCCTAAATATATAGAGTGATATACATTTTATATGAATGTATGGAATTTGTTCTGTTTTTTTTTTAATATCTACATCACTTCAGTTTCTAACATTTTAATACATTTCTAGCTCAGGATGAAGTTAAAGGTTTATAGAGAAGGAGTCTTATCAGGACTGAGATGAAGCTCAGTAGTATGGTTTTTTTGCCTAGCAGGCATGAGGCCCTTGGTGCAGTCCCTAACAAAAGAACAAGAGGGAGAAGGAGAGACAAGGAGGAGTCTCAATCAGAGAGGATGCTGCAAATGGTAGCCTTTTAACTTGATGTTTAATATGCGAGTTCCTCAGAATACAGATGGAAATGATCACACCGGGTTGGCTCTCCTTCGCTGTGGAGATCTCTCCCTTTGCAGCATGTGTTCTACCAGCAAGTATGCACAGTGCGAACATCAGAAGCTATGTGCACACGTGTTGCGTGTTATCACTTTCCTGCTTAAGATAAACATGAAGTTTTAAAATTAAATCTAGACAATAAATTCAAACCTAGGCTGCAAAACAAATGAGAGGTAAAATCATTGAAAAGTTCACTGAAGTCACCAATCAATAACTATTTTGTGATTTCCAATCGCTTACTTTCTGCTAAGCCCTAGAAACAAATCATTCACCTGAGCAGAACTTCTGTGAGGAAAAGTGAGGAAAAGAATCCACTCAGAACTACCTGTCCTGCATCAGGGCCAGTGACTGTGCTAAGTGATTCCTGCTCTCAAGGCGGTAGATTTGTATGAGAGATTGGTTCTGAGAAGTCTCATCAGACTGTCCCTAAGAGAATAAACCCTTCCAAAAAACCTTTTCTAAAGCTTAAACCCATCGCTCTGCTTCCATTTTCCCAATCCTGTGTGTAGACAGCTATGTAAAGCCTGCCAAAGCTTCACTCCACAGCTTGTTATCAGTCTTATTTATAATCAGCAATGCCGAACAAAGAAAGCTTTATGCAGAATTTCTTCACACGTATGAAACCCTCAAAGTGATTTGGCCAGGCCCTAACATTTGGTAAGACTAGTAACATTTATTTGAAAGTTCAGTGCCTAGGGTAGTTAAAGTTCTGTAGTGTATACCACCCATATGGGCCATTTCTTCCCTGAATGTCCAGTGAGACGTTGAAAGACTCTCTGATTGTCTTCCTCTTCAGATATGGACCCATGGGAAGCTTCTTCTTCCTGAAACATCATTTTGATCACATCACTGACATGTTGAAATTTCTGTCCTACCCAACATTAAACTCAAACTTATTAACGAAAGCAGCGTGAGTCTTCTGTTCCCCACTGCCCCCAACTAGCTTACCATGAACTCTAACTCAACAAGTTATGTCTGACACAATCACTGCTGAGGAGGAGAGGGGTGGAGAGAGGAGCTATTGTCTATACTTCAGGACTTAAAGAGATATTTAATGTAGGGGATAGGAAAAGGTATAACTAACATTCTCCCAGCCAAAAAAAATAGATAAATTAATAATGAAGTTACACAGGACGAGCTGTATGCTCAGGAATGGGGGAGGGGGGTTTCATTATCACTGGGGATAAATTCCTCCCATTCCACCCAGACCCTGTTTTCCAGCAAGTAAACAGTTCTCAGACTACAACACACGGACTCCCTAGTCACGTGATCTTCTCCTTCACACTTCAAACTATTTAGTAAAAGCTCTATCTCCCATGAACACTTTCCCGGGCCCCCAGCAATCTGGTCATGCACTATGTTTAGTATTCAGGTAGCCTTCAGATAGAGACCTCGAGTCTTTCTCATGATATGTTTTTTTATTCCTCACATCTTTTCTACATGACTTTCTTCTCTCTGACTCACATTAAATTCCTTATGAGTAGGGCTGGTTCCTTTTCTCGCGATTTTGTAGGGCACACCGTAGACGTAGCATCCACTAGATAAATACGCGCACAGTCACTCTGTCGCTCCAGGATCGCTCAGCCTGCTGCAGCACAACTGCCCCTCTGTGCTCTAAGAGAGTGGGGATAGCGTGCGGAGAGAAAACAAGCGGAGGCAGTAGGGAAAAAATAGAGAGAGCGTTGGTCTTCTCCCGCTCAGCTTCGCCATGCCCTTTCCAAACCTGAGAACTGTCCTCGTTTTTGAACAGAAGTCCTTTTCTTTATATGATAGGATCTGTGGAGTGAGGATGAGCAGGAAAGAGTGAGATACCACAAGAGAGGTAGCCACCTTCCTGCTGGAGACTTGGCGGAAGCATAGTGTTGGCCTTGAGCGTGTTCAAGGTGATCATGGAGCACACGGGAACCGGGCCAGGCTTGAGTGAACTCGGAGTCTTTGGGAAGTATGAAGCTGGTTATGGACAGGTCCGCATTTACCGAGTTTTGAGAGACGCAAGCAAAGACTGGCATATGACTTTTGGTTTGGGTGTGAGGCCTCGCAAGTGCAGGGACCAGGCACCTAAAGCACTGAAATGTATCCAAGTTGTACTGGAAATACAGACTCACAAGCCATGGGCAGCATCCTTTTCTAACTCATATCTACCTCACAAAGTTGGTCTACAGCGTTTCTAATATAAAGACACTGCAGAAAAGTTCCATCTGAAGGGCAGAGGGGAAAGCCAGGATGCAAGTTTTTCTCTGCTCACCAAACCACACAACAGGTATTGAGATGCATCCACAAAGAGGGGTCAGCTTTTCTTAAGTCATCTAAACATGGTACCATCTTCTAATCAAGGCAAATTTTTTAGATAGACCGGCATAGCCCTTAATCCAAATTCGGTTTTAGTTTTTCTAATGACTGAAGTTAACAAGCTTAGAAAAACAGCCCCTTCCAATTTCTGGACCTAGTTATTAGAACATTCTTTCCTAATTGGAAAGCCAAGACCCACTATTTAATATTTCTACTCTGGTCTTCACCCTAGCCTCTGTACTATATTACAGACTCTCAGCTTCCAGCCTAACTCATTCAGAGCTACAATTTCTGAAAATAGTTCTTTGTTTTCCCCGGAGCTGTTCATTTCCTAAATACCATCACACATGGAAGTCAATTGCAGTCCTGAATTCCACAAGGTTGTCTCATAGCAAGCCAGTCAGCCCAATGGTGAGCTCACCAACAGTGAGCGAGGTTGATATCAATAATGTGCTTAACTCCCTGCCTTTGATTAAACAGAGCTCTCCAAGCTCTTCTTCGCCCTCTTTCTGTGGTTTTTATACTATGAGATAATATGAACTGACAGCCCCAGCGCCGTAGTAAGGAATATACAGGGAGAACACTGGGGTTTTCTGACCACCGGCCTACTTTCAAGCCCGGGGGAGACCCTGTAACACAGGACATGTGATATTCTCCTCCAGCCACTGCATGCGAAAAAAGACCATGCGGCATATTTACTAGTGCCTATACTTTAGAATAAAATTTCCTTAGAAAGAATTGGGAATGATCAAATATGATAGATTTTTTATTGTGTCTAAAATGAATTTTAAGGATTCATATCAAGTCAAGGATACTGTCTTCATCAGTCATGAAATTTTGATTCAGAAAAAAGAAAAGAGAGTGAAATTGGTTCCCCAGTTTCATTGGTTCTACCTCTGGATACGTAGCCACCATTTTAGTGAATAACAATCATAAAGAAAAGAGAGATTATTTGGAACTTAATATTACTCAGAAAGGGAATCTCTAAAATACTCCATAAGCTTTGTGTTTTCACACAATGATCAGTCCCCAACAAAAATCTCCATCATATAAGAGTGCTTGACTAGCCGGGCGGTGGTGGCGCACGCCCTTAATCCCAGCACTCGGGAGGCAGAGGCAGGCGGATCTCTGTGAGTTCGAGACCAGCCTGGTCTAGAAGAGCTAGTTCCAGGACAGGCTCCAAAGCCACAGAGAAACCCTGTCTCGAAAAACAAAACAAAACAAAACAAAACAAAACCAAACCAAGAGTGCTTGACTTACTTTTAAGGGAAATTCAAAATTA